ATTCACAGGTAATTATTTGTCCAGCCATAAGCACAGAAAATCATGGCAAATGTTCTGAAAGTACTCAAAGAATCCACCGCACTCCATCGCACCTATCATTTCCAAATATCTTTAGTACCTTTTCATGTACGCCTCCTTGGTGCTAGCAAAACCTACGGACTTTCAATGCACCTTTGAATATTCAGCATTCTATATTTGGGACTTCATAATCTCAAGATGTGTATTTCATGCACGTTTATTTCCGTGAACGGTCTCATATAAGAAGCTATAGAGTTATTGTTTCGCCATCGCATGTAATAGTGACTTGCTTAGCAAGTGCTGCTAGCCCCTTGTTAGCTGAGACGAAGTCGTCCAACTGAAATATGATAATTAAACCACAGCAAGATTAAAAATAGAAATGCAAGTAAGTGTATAGAGATACTACTGCTCATTAATTCACTACTTCCGAAGAATGGCTAACGCACATAGCAAGAAACCGTCGTAGTATCAATTATCTGAAGTATCCGGGCAAGTATTCCATCCACCAAACAAGTTCAGCGCCAATAGGAGTGACCAAGAGTCCTCAAATGCATCCCTCCCAAGGACATGCAAAACAAAAGCAACCAATGACGACCTATCACTACGTGCGCTGCAGTTATAAGCTTTTTGGTATTGCATGCAGGGTTGGTGTTAGTGGTCGTTAAATTACACAAGAAGAACGGTGAGGTGGGTACCTTATTACAATACACACCACGGACGGTATAGACGGCAACGAATCTTCCATCGATGTTCTCTGCTTCCACATCGATTTGCTTAGTGTTGTAGAGAACGTTGTAGCTTTCCTCAAGCTCCTCCACCTGAATAGGTTGTTGCCACCGCTTTAGAAATTTTTAGTAGGGTAAGGAGCGAATACATAGCTACTTCTGCCTGGCTTTCTACCAAAAAGCGTTCACATACATACGTTCACTTACCGTTGATCTGACTATCCAGATAAGAAGAACTCATGTTCGCATCGAAGTCGAAGTAGGTTTCCACAATAACTTGTGCTTGCTCATCCGAAGTTGTTGCCTGTGGAACACAAGCCTGAACAGAGTACGGGACTCTTGAAAGGCATAATTCTACTTCTTATTCGCGTCCTATACCTTCCCTGAATAGCCGCTCTGGAGAGCTCTCGCTGTTCTGTGAGATACTTACCCAC